TAAGTGTTTGATTTGATGCTTTTGAAACTATCAATTTTCCTCGCTTCAAGTCCAGTCTGCCGGCCGCTATTATTAGCGTTGTTTGTTTGTGGATTTTTAATATTTATTCTATTATGTTTAATTTTTTTAAAAGAATAGGAAATTAAATAATTTAAAAAAATATTTTTAATTTGTATTTTATTATTTAATTTTTATATTATTTTAAAAAAATTAAATTTTTTATATAAAATATCATGACAAAATTATTTCTATTACTATTTTCTATTTCAAATAAAAACTCTTTTATTCATCATATATGATTTTCTATAAAAGTATAGCTTTTTTTTTAAATATCAAATTAAAATATTATTTAAATTAAATTTCAAATTAAATTTTAAATTCATATTAAAATATCATACTCAAATCAAAATAAAACAAATTCCATACATTTTTATTAAAAATTATTCATACTGAGTAATAAAAAATTTTTAATTTGACATTCTTCTACAATGAGACTGGGATAGTGATTATATTTATAATAGGTTATTATTATAATTTAATTTAGTCAAGTTCAAAATAGGCTATGAGTTTTGGAACCTTCTTAAATTAATGTTATGCATTTATATAATTATATAAACTGTATATACATTTTTTAACATTTGATTTCAATATTTTTATTATGTAATTATTGTGGTTTTAAACAATATTTATCTTACAAAAAATTATATTTAAATAAAAAAATTAAATTAAACTCTAAAAAATATACACAAATATTTCTATAATTTTATTCCTTTTTATTCTCAAACTTTTTCCTACAATTTCCTTGTCCTACCCATCGTCCAAATTAAAATTATATAATTATCAATTTCTAACTATACATATGCAATGTGTTGTACGAATATATATATATATATTATAAAAATATATAAAATATATATTATTAATTAATGTTTGATGTTTTCATAATTTGAAACATTTGATTTTTATTATTTCCAAGTAAAATAGTTGTGTGTCTATATGTCTTGACATAGACAACCAATGGCGCGTGTACTTTGGGTTATTAAAATGAATAATATTATTTTATCCAACTTAATTACATATTTACTATAATAGATAAAAAATTTGGAATGCACAATAATACAGTAGTTAATAATAACAAATTTTATTTAGGTGAGTGAGATTAATTCATCTCAAGTATTATTTTTGTTAAAATTTATATTACCTTATATATAATTAAATATATAATATATTGAAATAGTATTATACTACAAAGTAAAAACACCTCAAAATTACATTTATTTTATATATTTTTTTAATAAAAAAAGGCATTTGAAATTAATGTGAGCAAGAGATAAGAGTTGACAATTAATCTTTAAGGCTTTTCCAGCCCAAATCAAATTTGTGGACTATAAGCCCATATATATATATATATATATATTTGTAATTTGAAATAATATGTGAATTTTGGTAGGAATATTAACTCCAAAGTTAAGAAATTTTCGGATAAATAAGATATGTGTACGAGCGTATTTGTTTTGTGAAATAATTTAAAGAGATTTTTTAATGTGAGATATAAAAATTTATGTAAATATAATAATAATAAATGTGTGTAATATATTAATTTTTGAGAAATGTATAAATTTTTTTAAAAAAAGAACACACCCGCAAATTCAATTAATCTTGAGCTAGGGTAAAATATTTCTAAATTTTAAAAGTTTATACACCATGTTATTAATTAATTTAAAGTGAACAATTGATAATATTGAATATTTTTAAATGGTGTGTTATTATTGAGATTTCAACTACTTATCAAATTTTATAAAAAAATTGTAGAATTTATTTATTTTATTTTAAATCATTGATGTCATAAGAGGTACCAAATGATTTAAATATGCTATCAATTGAAAATAAAGTTATCATATAACATGATGCTGCTATTATTCTTAACATCTAAAATTGCATGAAGTAATTGTTTGCTAATATGCTTACATATTGTATAAATTTGTTACACGTTTATATCATCTAAATGCTTAGATTACTACCTTACAATAATAATTAAAAAATAAATAAAAAAAATAAAAATTTGAGAACTCATAAAATTATACATAAATTGTAAAAACAAAGATGAATCAGTGTGATATATTTTGATATATCTGATAAAAAATAAAAAAAAAAAAACCTCAATTTTGGTAATAGATCATCAATTATATATCTATTGTATTTGGTCTTAATGCACAATAGATATTTTTTAAAAAATAAAAAATAAAAACAAAAAGGGTATTTTATTTTACACATATATTTTTTTAAAAAAAATTAATATATTGTACATAATTATTATTTTTATATCATTTACGTAATTTTCAATACCTTATATAAAAAAAATATATAATTTCAAACTATTTTACAAAACAAATACACCGAATTATTGCTTTGAATGATCAATAAGGCCACCACACCATTTTAGATGACCAAACCAATTGAAAATATAAAATAGAACAAAGTCAAAATTGACACAAGTCTAATGGGGCGGCAACTTTTTTTTAAAATTATTATTGTTATTACTACTATTATTAGTATTATTATACAATTATATGGAAAAAAAATAATTTTGTTTTAATTGAAATTTTTTAATTGATTTTACTTTTATTTAAAGTAAAATTAATTAATTTGATTTCACCAATAACTTCTCAATGAAAATTGATGATGTGACAATTGAAATAAACTGAAAATGACCATATCAAATGATTTATGATTTAAACTATTAGCTCATGGTCACAAGTCCAATCCCTACACCACTATCGGACCATTTTTTACTGGACAACATGCATATTACATTTATTGCTATAAACCTTGTTCAACTATGGTTATATTCTGGGCGTTGTTTTAAGCATTATTATATAAATATAATCAGATTCAAAATATGATTGTTTTTATATATTGTTCTAACTATTTTATGATTAAACATAAGCACATAAACATAGGCGTACAACATGTAATAAGATATCAACTTATTTTATTTACAATAAATATTAAGATATGTAATATTTTAAACCATGTTTAAGATATTTAATATTTTGTCAGAAATGGAATGTGACATACCAACACGGCAACATAGACATCCTAAATTTTCAGTCATTAATTAATATTTGGTTTATAATGCAATATATAGAATTAGAATAAGTTAAAAATATGTATTTAAATATTTTTAAAATTATATTTTAATAAAATATATGCAATATATATTATTTTGTAAAGACTAAAATTTTATATAATATAAATAAATAATTTTTTTTAAAATATATATAAATATATTTTATTTTGTTTATTTAATCTCTCTCTCTTTTTTTTTTTTCTTTTCTAGTATACTAGAATTTTATTTTAATGATTTAAGTGGAAATTGAACTCATAATCAATGATAAACAGTTTAAAGACTCTACCATTAAACTATATTTAACTTTTAGTTACAATTTTATTAATTAATATATATAAATATATTCAATATTTAATATTAATTTAAAAAAGTCAGGTCGGGCCCGATACAATCCGACCTTCATAAGTCCGGGTACAGCCTGGTCTATCAGCGTGTCGGGCCAAACACAATCCAAAAAAATTCAGACTTATATTTTGAATTCCAAACACTTTTTGATAATGTATATTTTTGCCCCCTCTGACTATTATATTGTAATTCACATTTATTTTCACCTATTGGTGAATAGGGGGTTTTGAAGTTCCACTTTGGTGTGTTAGATATTAATCTTTGGAAATGTTTAGAGAATTTTGAAACTGGAAAAATATTTAATACTCGCTCCGTTCCATAAATATAGTTTTAATTGAATTTGAAACGAAATTTAAGAAATATTGATATCATATCGATAGTGGGTGAAAAATATGGATAAAAGACTTTTTTTTTTTTTTCCTTTGTGAGTGTATTAGTGTAAAAAGTAGTGACTCTTGTATAATAAAAATGAAAAAGTATAGATAGTTTTACGGTGATATAGTTATTTATGGAAATAAGACTATTGTTTTGAGACGGATCAAAATGATAAACAAAACTATTGTATTGGGACGGAGGGAATAATATATATATTTAATGTGATATATATAAGTATTAGACGTAATATTTTATATAGAAGATATATTTTAATACAATATTTTAAATAAAAATAATTATTAAATGTGTTATATTTTATAAAAAAATTTAATGAATTATACCAAATTACTCCCTCCGTCCCAGAAAATATGAGATTAGATACGAAAATTTAGGTAAAGGGGCAGATAAAAATCGAAAAAAGGACAAATTACGTGGAATAGATGGAGTAATATTTATAAATTATTCTTAATCCTTTAATTGGCAGTAGCCATTCTTCCATAGCTTGGATTTTATTTTATCGATCTGTAGTTTTTTGTAGGCATAGAACGAAATTTCAAATATGTTCTAAATACAAAAATTAATGATGCATAAATACTGTGCTTTGAACTATGATTTTATATAATAAATTTAAAAGTAAAATACTATACCTACTTTAACTATGTAGGTTTTGTAGGCATAAAATCATGTTAAAAATGTGCTCCAAATTTTGTATTGGATGTTGGAACTCGGACCGGTAATGCCCCTCACACAGTTTAAGGTGTTTAAAAAATGTCCGTTATTCGAATCCAATAAATACTCTTTTCGTTCTAAAACAATAGAGATATTTGACATGGTAATGAAAAAATAAATATGATTTTATATATAAATAATTAATAAATATAAAATAATGTTTTTATGGAACATTTTAATATAAATAATTAATAGAAACCGGTTAATAAAATTAACCAATAATTAATGGAAACATCCTTTAGTAATTAATCATAATCAAGATAGGTGTGCACGTGTTTTGCACGTCGGAAAACGAACAGTTGAACGAACGCGTAAAAATTGGCAGGTTGGGTTGGGACTTGGCGGGTCAAACATATATAAATAATTAAATAAATACCCACACTATTATTATTATTATTATTATTATTATTATTATGGTTGTTGTTGTTGACAAATTCCAAATTCAATTGGTTGAACCAAAACACCCAAAAAAATAAACCCACCAACCCCACCCCGTCCCTTTTTCCTCCTCTTCTCTCGATCGCCGGCCACCTCTCACTTCCGACCAATCTCTAATGCCAATGGCGGCGGCGAGCGGCCTCTCTAACCTAACACCTATCACTGCAGGTACTGAATCGAAGCTTGACCTCCGCATTCGCAATTCATCTTGTTGCCCGGTGCGTTGTTTTACTCCCAGGACACCAATTTTTGGCGATAATCTGTGTTGTAAGATTGTTGTTCCCAAATCGCTCCGATTGAGTCCTAGATGTGAACTCGCTCCTAAAGCCGCGATCCAATCTAAGTCTTCGAGTGTATCGGCTTTGGAACTTCTCAAAACCTCTGCAGCTGATCGTAAGTTTCCGGACCTGTTTTCCTTAGGTTAATTTAATTACCTTGCTTCTGTTTGCTAACTGCTAGTCCTTTTGCCTTTTGTCTTCTCGTCTGGTTTTATCTGATTTTTTGGAAGGTTGTTAAGTAGTTTGATTCCCTGTTCTTATCTCAGAAATTAGAATAATTGGTTTTCAAGTTACCTTAGCATTTTAGCTCTTTAGTTGCATTTCCCTTTAGAACTCTGCACTGTTTCGAGTACTGGCTTTGCTTCATGTAATGGATGCAAATAATGATTTCACTTGAAGTTTGTGTGTTAAAGTCTTCCTGGTTAGGCAATAAAGAAATTCTTCGTATCTAACCAATACAGTTTACCCTCTCTATGCAGGTTATACAAAGGAAACTAGCAGCGTTATTGTAGTAGGCTTCAATTACCGTACAGCACCAGTCGAAATACGTGAGAAGCTTTCCATCCCAGAAGCACAATGGCCTCAAGCAATTGGTGAACTATGTGCCTTAAACCATATAGAAGAAGCTGCTGTTCTTAGTACCTGCAATAGGATGGAAATATATGTTGTGGCTCTCTCTCGGAATCGTGGCATTAAAGAAGTGACTGAATGGATGTCTAAGGTACCAAACATTATTCGATTTCTTCTTCTTTGTTGCTCGTTTAGGCCACTGCAGAGTGTGTATCTGCATCTATTAAGAGTTACCTGTGAATAATTATCAATATGTATCATAGAAATTACCAGATTGTTGTTTAAGGTGCTTGCCAAAATGCTTTCTATCTTCTGCTCTATCTTTTAATTTCCAATCCACTGATTTCTTGATAATCTTGGGGAAAAGCTAAGACGACTAGATGAGAACAATGATCATACTGATTTGCCTGAGATTACTTACTTTACTCTTATACACAATGCGAAAGTAGTGAGAAATCATCGATCTCTAATGGCTAAAATGTAAGAAAATTGATTCATGTTCTGTATCATTTTGTCTTCAGATAAGTTCTGTTCCAGTCCCAGAGCTATGCCAGCACAGGTTCTTACTTTCCAACAAGGATGCTACACAGCACCTCTTCGAAGTATCATCCGGGCTCGACTCGCTTGTTCTAGGAGAAGGTCAGATTCTTTCACAGGTAAAACAAGTTGTCAAAAGTGGGCAAGGAGTCGGTGGATTTGGTCGAAAAATCAGTGGGCTGTTCAAGCATGCAATAACCGTGGGCAAACGGGTCAGAACAAACACTAGCATCTCCACCGGGTCCGTATCCGTTAGCTCAGCCGCTGTGGAGCTTGCTATGATGAAACTTCCAAAATCGTTGCATTCGTCTGCCAGAATGTTGGTTGTCGGTGCTGGAAAAATGGGAAAGCTCGTGATCAAACACCTCGCTGCAAAAGGTTTTCGAAATATGGTGGTGGTTAATCGGAACGAGCATAAACTCGCATCCATCCGTGATGAGGTCAAGGATGTCGAAATAGATTATAAGCCTCTCTCGGAATTGCTAACGTGTGCTGCGGAAGCAGACGTCGTTTTCACATGTACTGCTTCAGAAACTCTTCTGTTCACCAAAGAGCAAGTTCAGACACTTCGAAGTCCTCCGAGGCTCTTTATCGACATTTCTGTTCCACGAAATGTGGGCATATCCGTGTCTGAAATCGACGGTGTCCAAGTCTACAATGTGGATGATTTGAAGGAAGTCGTAGCTGCAAACAAGGAAGATCGAGTGCAGAAAGCGATGGAAGCTCAAGCGATCATCGGTGAAGAAGTGAAACAATTCGAAGCGTGGAAGGAGTCGCTTGAGACGGTTCCAACCATCAAGAAGCTTAGAGCTTACGCAGAAAGAATCCGGGCGTTGGAGCTGGAAAAGTGTATGTCAAAGATGGGCGATGATATCACGACGAATCAAAAGAAAGCTATTTATGATCTCAGCATCGGAATAGTGAACAAACTCCTCCACGGCCCGATGCAGCATTTGAGAAGCGACGGTGATGGTGCTGATGCAGGTCGCCAGAATCTGAATCAAATACTGGAAAACATGCACGCGCTCAACCGGATATTCAGCCTCGACTTGGAGACGTCGCCGGCGTCGGTGCTCGAACAGAAAGTTAGAGCAAAGGTCCAGAAGAATCGAAGCTAGAAGCGAGTTTCTTGAAGGCTGAAGTAATTTATCCTTAATTTTTGTTTTTCTTATTCATTTTTTTGAGAATTTATTCGATTATTATGGCCATCATTGGGATTAATTGGTCTTCCTATGTAACTATGTATAGTTGAGGTTATAGAGATGATCCTTGTGAAGAGGAACAAGTCATTTTGGTTGTAGTTGTATCACGAAACCCAAATAAATTAATTAATAAATAAAATTTATTTATCAAAATGTAATTACTCAGTTCTCACCATTCTAAAACCATTTTGACACATTTTTGCTAAAAAAAAAAAAAAAAAAAAAACCTCGAAATATGAAAGCCAAAGAAAGGGAGGGCTGTAGATTTGTGCTAAAATATGTATAAATATATGCTTACCGTCTCTTATAGCATATACTGATCCGGTCAGACCAACACCTTGCTGACTTGATAGGATCAACAGCCGATGCCCGAAAGGGAGTGTGAATAACAACAATCACTAGTTACTACTAAAAAGATCATCAGACTATAACACTGCCTATCGATCAATTGGAAAGAACCAAAAAAATCAAGATATGTATATATCTTGGTCAGTTCATCTCCTCCAAATTGTAAGTAATCAGTTGAGTCAAGATATCGACCCATGTGTCCGGAACACCCGGCAGGCACCAGTGCATACAGTCCTGACCCCAAATAGCTACGGCGTCTTTCTTCCCTAGCCAGATTGAAGGATGAGCATCGGCTCGGAATTCACTTAGGCGAGTCAGATCCAGTGTTCTGATACTTGTTCCTCTCAGGACCTCCTCAATCATAAGATTTAGTTTCCTAGCTTCTGTGTTCACTCCATTATTCCACGGATCAAACCATAGATCAAGCTGCTGCACAAACATTTATCACTTTCAAAAACTGACAATATTATTGCCCCACAATTACTAAAAAACTAGTTTAACAAATACCTGAGATTCTCCAAGAGGCTCATTTAACAAACAGGTTCCATTTTCATTCCATTCGCCACCGTGAAAGTGCCTTGGCGACTGCAGCCGCCAAAACTTGAGCACCTTTTCGGGGAATGCTTTCTCAATGTGTGCTACCATATTCTCAAGAACAACTTTGAGGCCATCCTGAATTTCCAGGGGAGGATTCATTGCTCGGCCATTTTTAAAGAATACAAGTGGAGTTTCTTTTGGGAATTTGTCGTAACCCCACCTGATGACGGCAATTAAGCCAAATGAAAATTTCGGGACTGTTTTTTCATAATGAAATTCATATTTTAAATTCAACAATCAATATCAAGAAAAGGATAAAGAAAAATCACCAGTGACCAGTGTTGAAGACCAGAACATCATAGAAATCAGCAATATTAGCCCAGTCGTCGGCTGGAATGTCAACATCTACTCGATAAATCCCTTTCACTCCATCTTGGATGGGTAAGTCGGTCGATTTAGTCTGCCACCTTAATTTTATCAGTAACAATCTAGTGAGGCAGCCATTCGCGGCAAAAGACAACTCATTTTACACAACTGGATTAAAATATAATGCAATATAACCGATCCGATGCAACGGATAAAACAAAAAAGTAAGATAGGGAGTTCATGATATGAAGCATAATTACAGCCTTCAGCATAAACAATGGTAACTTTCTAAAGTTCAAAGACATAACTTTCAGCACTGATCTTTGATTGTTTAATCTAAACAAGAATCAATTACAAGGAATCAGTTATTGTAGACTAAAATGATTCAAATCCATTTTCATTTCATTTGACAATACAATAAATTTCAAATGCACTAAGATCAAGTGAATTTACATTCTAAATTGATAATCAAATAGACATGAAATAAGCATTTGGGTAAACAAAAAAAAATCACAGAACAACATCAAAATAACAACACTTACTCAAATTTTGCAAGCAAAACAGCTCGATGATACGCCACAGTCACATTAAACTTGGGGAAATAAGCACCTCGCCAAGAACCCCTTCGCTTCCACTTCTTAGCGCCATCATCGCCAACGCTTAATACGCAGAGAAACGACACCAAAAAATTCTCATTCAAAGAGTCCCCCACCAGCCCAATATTCCTATTCCTCATCAGATTCAAGAACCCGACCGGATCGACCCTATTCAGATCACAGGCTTCGGGCACCCATTTCCATGAATTGATCCGACCCATATTTTCCCTTTGATTTTTGATGCAATTCCAGGCGTTCCTATGGAATGGGCAGGCGGAATCGTACAAGGGCTTTCGAGAGGGGTCGCGAACCCATTTGCCTCTGAAAAGGTTGCATGGAGGCGGCGGTAAAAGAGGGATTTTCGAAGGGTGGGGTTGGGGTGAGGTGGTGTAGAGAGGTAGGAGTGAGGAGTAGAAGAAGGTGAGCAAACAGGAAGGTAGAATTAACCATACGATGGTTTGAGGTATTAGTTTGGATGCCATCGCCATTGTCGCTGCAATGAGCATTTTGAGGAAAGAGTTTCAGTATTTGGGACACTTAGGTGCGGCCCCTTGCCCAACCGGTTTAGAACCGGCGGTTCGAACCGGGAAACAAAAATAGATTTTACCTTGATGTTCGTAGTCCATGGGATTTGTGAATTTTTTTGGGCAATAACTTAAAATGGTTATATTTTATAAAAATAATATATTTATATTTATAATAATGATAAAGAAAAATAAAATTAATATTAATAAAAATAATTATTTATAATAAATTAATATATAATAATATCTAGGCCTCAATTATCACGGACCAAAATATATTACAAATCTCCACCTTATTTTGGGCGTGGAAGATTGTTTTCTCGGGTGTCATCACGGTCCGAACTTTCATTGATTCCTTATAAATCAAAGTTTTCTTTAAGTTTTCATCGATGTTGATTTGATTTCGAGAGAATATAGCCTATTGAATCTTGGATTAGTAATAACAAGTGGTATCAGAGCTTTTAGGTGGCTAACTTACTGTTTCTTTCGAAATTGAGAAATCTCGGTTTGTTTTTTTGTTTTGGATAAAACTTGAAACCGTCGTTTGTTTTCTATTTTTTTTTGTGAAAACTTGAGTCAAGTCCTTATAAAATGTTTTTTTTTGAAGGGATTGAATCTGAGTTGATCATGTTCTCTGGTTTTGTCGAAAAATTGATAATAGTCCATGTTTTTCGAAATCTTGAACTGAATTGGTGTTAACAAGACTGTTACCTGCGCTGTTTGATGTGTTGTGATCTGTTTTGTACAAATTCATTGATTATAGTGCGTTGATGTTTCAATTGTTCAATCCTGTAGTTTTGAAATACAATATGAAAGTTGAGTGATTGTTATTTTGAGTGTCAGAACTTGAATACTATAATCGAGATCACATTGGCCTAAAAGTGAAACTGAAAGTTGTGTTTCTGATATAAGTTTGTCTTACATGTGACATTCTAGGCTGTTGGTTAGTATAGTCATTTATTGTGCCATCCAAACTATACTAATTTGTGTATTGAGTGTGCAGTTTAAAAGGTGTAACAGGTTGACATCGAGAAAGGAATTCATTCATTCAGAGAACAATATAGAACATAACCTTCTCTCGCGATTCTTCTCTCATGCCCTAGGCGATTCCTTCGTCGTCGCGCCTGCCTTCTCCGGTGAATCTGTCCGGCGAGTTGGGAGTTCCTCTTCCCCGTTGATGTGCGCCTTTTCCCTCGGTGTTTCTACGGTTTGATTTAATCGATTTGTGCCTTTATTTGTTCTCTCGCGATGTATATGCTGTTCGCGGTGTGATATGCTTGAAATCGTTTGTGTTTCCGTATATTAGGATTCGGGTTTTTGTGTTTGTTGCGTTTACGTGGCGTGTCATTTGTAGTTGGGTCTTGGATGTGTGTTCGGTGCCGGTTTGTTTGATATTAGGGTAAACTGAGTCCAAATTGTTGCTTCTGTAATAAATCGAAGTTTTCTTTAAGTTTTCATCGATGTTGATTTGATTTCGAGAGAATATAGCCTATTGGATCTTGGATTAGTAATAACATAATATTTTATTAATTTACGAAAATATGTAAGATTGATTTTAATTACTTCTTTAATTTATATAAAAATTAAATACTATATTTTAGTTTTAATGTGATTATTTTTACTAGTAAATTGATACTTTTCAATGAAATACTCCATCCGTCTCGTAACTATAGTCTTAATTGGTTTCGGCGTGAAATTTAAGGGATATTGATATTATATTGGTAATTGGTAAAAAATATGGATAAAAAAGTAGTTTTATAGTGATATGATTATTTATAAAATAAGAATATTGTTTTGGGACATATAAAAATGATAAAAAAGACTATTGTATCGAGACAGAGTATATAAAATAATAAAAAGTATACAGTTGGCACTGATGGCACCGAGGGAGTTTTATTGTCAAATATATCACTATTTATATTATGCATTTAATATATTTATTGTGCTAAAAATCAATAATATATTGTGTTATAAATTATATTATTTTTGTGCTACATACTTTATATATGTGTTGGTTGAATTAAACCAGCATCATAATAATTATATCATCCGTTCATTCTAGGGTTGTAATCCTAGCTATCTATTAATTTATGTATATGTATATATATGTTGCCCTTCATTATGATACATACGTAATGCTATCAGTTCATATTCTTGCGCGTTCTCTCTTTTTCGATCTGTGATCGATGTTGAAGTTTTTTCGGTGGGTTTCTTTATTTTCGAGAGGGCGGTTCTTCTATGAAATATTTGGAGAGTAATTAGTAAGTTCTCTACGATGTGATTTTTTATATTTTAAGTTGTTTAACTTCGAGGGATTAGTGTTCGATTATTTGGATAGGAGATAGGTATCGTCGGGGTGCCGTTGAACAGCGCCGGAGTTCAATCGTCCTTGTTCTTGCCTCTTTTTGTCTAATAAGGGTTGACGTTGAGCCACACGTTGATGTTATTTGTTGGTGTTTGTTTACGGTTTTGTGTTTTGATTTCTACAATACACAATCTTTATTTAGTTCATTTTACAAGTATTTTTCATTGTCTATTTTCCTCCAAAAATTTATGCTTCTTATAATTTTAAAATTGTATGAAACTCTCATAGTATTGTAAAAAATACCATACAAAATTCTCTTTCTAAAAAATTCTATGTAATGTTTATGAAAATATGGAGACAATTTCATGCCATTTTTAAGAAATTTTATACAATATCTTCTAAAATACAGCGAGACTCATGCAATTTAAAAAAATATATGATGCAAAATTTTCGAATCACAAATAGAGTTATAAGAAAATCTTCATTTAAAAAAGTTGATACAAATATTGTGTGTCGATATGCTGACCACAACCAACCTCATGTACATAAACATTCACGCTTATTTGCTTTTTATTTACTTCTCCATATATATATATATATAGTTTAACACTGAAAATGAAACTGTATATGTGAATATGTAAAATGTGAATTTGCAGTAAACATGTAGTCCTAATAAGGCCATTCCCCATCCCAATTGCCCGGGGGATCATAGGAGCAGACCACATAGTACCATCCATTGTTGCACCTGGCCTTCCCGCACCCGATGCGCACCGAATCGCGCCACACAATCTGCGTGTAATGACCGCACACTTTTCCAACCGCGCAGCTATTCGGGCTGTAATAATAGTTCGACTTCTCGGAAACCCACAAATTAATAGCATCTACACCGCTGAAAGTAGTGCTGCTGCCTTTAGCAAGATTTTCGCCGTATGGCCCATTAGAGTGTGTCATGTTACAATCTCCGATTCTTTGGTTAGCATAGTTTTGGGCATAGGTGGCGAGGGTTGTGCTCCATGTCACTGCGCCCACGCCTACTTGGCCGCGCGCCGTGTTGTGGCTGTTGACATAGTCTTGGGGTGAGTTTTGGGCAACAATGGTTGTTGGTGTAATTAGGGCTATCAAGAAAACGAGGGATAGGGGAATTTTGTTACTAGACATTGTATAGATCTTTGTGTAAGAATGAGAGTTGATTGGTTATTGTTTGGTATTTATAGGCATTCAAACTTGTACTAAGTATGTCATTGTTAATTATAAGTAGCTAGTTTTAGATTGCGCACTAGGTAAATTTTCGAGCCAAGATCAATCACGTGCAAATTAAGTCAGCTTAGCAAACTACACTAGTTAAGTTGTGTATGACAAATTTGACTTGGAAAAATTATACTATCATCTTGTAATTATAAGTTCACTTACTACATTAATTCAGCTATTTTTACAGGCTATTATTATTGCTCTTTTCATCCGGACTAATTATGTCATTTTGTTTGGACATAGAGATTAAGAAATATTGATATTTTAATGTGAAATTAAAATAAGTAAAAATGGAGTAGTATTATAGAAAAATTATTAAAAAGTTAATAAATAATCATGTGATAAGTAAAAAAAGAAAATAGTGATAAATTAGTTATTACTCCGTCCGTCCCACTTAATTTGTCCACTCTTTCTATTTTCTCGTTCGTCTCATATAATTTTTTATTTTATTTTTTGAAAATATAATTATACACTTTAATCACATTTTAAAATTTATAATTTATAGTTTTTTTTTGTTTTTTTAATTAAACTATTTACTCATCTTATTCTTAATTTATAATTATTTTTATTAAATTATAAGTATTTTTACTGATATTTTTTTTAAGGACAATTATAGTAGGACGGAGAGAGTATTTATTAAAATATAAGTAATAAAATTATGGATGAATAATATTGTTTACTATATATTTATATAAAACGAATAACAAGAAAATCTGGTATAATTATAACGGACCAAGAAAATAGTATTAAATATGCTCACCCTATATTGCAGGTGAAATGGCATGTGGGGGTGTACAATGCAATTTTATTTAATTTGGTACATTTTGAAGCAACCCTAAATTTATTAAAGCTTCCCCTTTGGACACATTGGGTTTGTGTATTTAGGATTAAAGTTTTGTTATTATAATCAGAGGTATGAAATGTTGCTTAAGTGAAGGTGTTAACTTTATGGAAAGAAGCAAAGGCTTATTTTCTTTTCATTTCTGAATGCATGAATAATGAAAGTAGATTTAGGGTGTGTTTGTTTGGGGATTTGGATTTTGAATTGGGATTTGAATAGTAAAACTTTTGAATTTGAATAGTTGTATGGTGTAATATAAATAGGTGTTGATATGATGTTTTGAATGTAAAATTGATTTTTAGTATAATATAAAAAATAAAAAATAAAAAATAGGTGTTATGATTTGATGTTTTTGAAGAGAAAAAATTGGATGAATAGCGGCGAAAAAGTCAAATATCCCAATTAAATATTTATTGTGACAGTTGCTTAAGGTTGTGAAAGCATTTAATTTCTGTCCAAGTTGAGAAAGCCACTAAATAGTTTTTTTTTTTTTTTTTTTTATTTGTCAAATGCTTAAATATTGTTTTAGAATTATTTAATTTGCACAAAAGAAGTAAACTAATGCATTCTCACTTTTAACAATGTTGTGAAACTCATACTTTGTACTCTAAAAAGTGTTTGGTACGGAGAAATAAGTATAGAAAAATGAAAATATGTTTGAGACAGAAATAAAATTAAAGAAATGAAATTGAAAACTATTTAAAAATAATAATTTAGAATAACAAAAATTTCGAAATAAGATAACTATATACTAGTATATATCTTCTTAGTAAAACTACGAAAAATTAAAAAAAAAAAATTAAAATTATAAAAATGAAAAAAAATAAAAATTGAAATGATGCATCATCACACCATAATCTTATACATTATATATAAATTATTATTCTTACTATTTTGAGGTTTCTTTTTTTCTGATCAAAGCACTATTTTTAAAGTCAATAATTATTGATTGTTATAAAAAAGTTACTGCATTAAGAGTGTTATTTTCAAAATAAAATAGAAATACTATATAAATAAATAAAAAATCCCATTGATCATCCTGATGCAAATACAAATTTGCCTAAACTTGGAATCCTACTATTATTGGGAACATATTCATCTCAAACCAGATATTCGAACAACAATCCAACCTGTCAAAATGGAGAATATTAACAGATTCTCAAGTTATAAAAAAAAAAAATTAAAAAGTCAATCCAACGGTGAACAACAAAATAAACAGTAATAAATTCTCACGTCATAGAAAAAAAAAAAAAATCGATCCAATGGTGAACAACGCCGAACCTTTTTCTTGAGCTGCATTATATTCTCTGAACCATATTCTCGCTCCTCCACATCCGCCTATTCCCTTGTCGTATAAAATTCTTAATCCGATCTCTCTTCTTCGTGCTCATCATTGTCCTCGTCGCCACATTTGGTCTCTTCCTCGTCCTCCCTATTCGCCTTCTCCTCTGTTTTAGCTTAAGATTAGTGCCTTTCAGCCTTCTCTTAACCCGACCACTCTTGTTCGTGTTCATCATTGTCCTCCTCGCTATTTTTTGTACCTTCACATTTTTCGTTCCAAGATTTGACGCTATCCTATTGAGTTCCTTAATTTCTTCGTTGAGGGCATCACTTATCTTGTTCGTAGAAACCGTCTTGCTCAATTTTAGAAAGATGTTTTTCTTCTTTATTCCATGTTTTGCGAGTGTCTCGTTAACTCTTTTTAGGAGCAACTCGATGTCATCCTCTATCTCGTATTCTTTCTTATGAGAATGTTTGAAATAGTAGATCAGCCAAAAGAATACGGCGAGTGCCACGCAAATTTGTAGAACATGCTTAGCCGTGATTCCTTCTGATCTACGAATGCCGGAAGGAGCTTGCCTGCGCATTTTGATAGCCCCGAAGTGTTTGTTACCTTATTCGTCGATTTTTTATCTTTTGGTAGTAATGGGTACCGAACCTGTCATTGACATAAAATGCATCCTTCATCGCAAAACCATGTGAACATAATTCATCGAAGAGTTTACATGACAGGAATTTATTTACACGTCGATGTTTCTATTAGAAGGGACGTGGATCCCTGCTGATTGGGTCGATGGGGGATAGGGGAGGGTTACGGTAGTGATTTGGGAAAATCAGCACATGTAAAATATAGAAACAACACGTGTCTTTATTACACATAATATGTGCTAGTCGTAATAAAAGCATTGATGTTTGTTCATAACTATAGCGTATATTGTATAAGAGTATGCTATGTGCTAAAATTAATTATTACATGTAATGTGTGTAAATTATATATATATTGTTGTCAGTTCATGTGTTTTATTTGTCTTATATTAATATAAATAATATGTTGTTAGTAATAATACCGTGTGTTGTTTGTTAAGTCAAATTAGAATAGTGCTGATTCGACCCAATAAAAAATAGATCTGCCTCCTTTATAAAAATTAAAGAAACAAGCTTCTAACAAATTAAAATTTGAGTTTTCTCTGCATTCCAATGAGTTTATATATTATCATATCAAATATGTATTATCCACGTTGCTGATTTGTGTCAAATATGTGTCCATAAAAACAGTATAATAGTTTTCCTTCAAGAAATGATCCAAAACATCCAAGAACACCTACTATATCATCACTAATCAATCTAATTATAAAGAGAAACCCTAAGAGATTGAAATCCAAATCTAATTCAATTCATACAAACACGAATAGAATTAATAGAAACTCGTTCCAGAAACAATAATTCAATTCATCTGCATACCTAATAATGAATTCAATCCATCAATTAATTACTTCACTAAGGCACATATATATATATATATATATATAGAATTGGATAGATGCATACCGTTGATGGATTGGGGGGTGTGAGTGACCGTACGTCCGTCCTCTTAATTAAGCGATGGGAAATGGTGGCGTTGATGTTGATGCCATGGCGATGGCGATGGCGATGGCGTCACTGCAAATGTTAAAAACTGGTTTAATTTACAGGTCTTTTAATTAGGGTTTGTTTGTTTAATTAGTTGCAGGGCTGGATTAATTCATAACTGGGTTTTAATTTGGACTCAGTTGGGTTTATTAAATTAATAAAAGTTTCTGTTTTAATAAATTTTGGAATAATTTTTAATTAATCAATTCATGAGAAGATGAAATAGGGATGATACGTGCTCTTGTAATTTGTAAATAATTATCTATTAAGCTTAAATAAATAAATGATATATATTTGAAAAGGACTTAGGCTGACATCTTCGATTCCCATACTACAGAATTTTAGATTTTTTTTTTTATTTAGAAACAAACAGTCTATCGGTGTTTTGATTTTGTATTTTTTAATAAATATATAATATATGTTTGGTACGAATCTATTATTGACTTTATTTTTTTTATATTATATTAATATATATATATTGTATATTTTTTTTTAATAATTAATCGTGTCACTCAAAAATAAATTTGATTTCTAAAAAATATTTGCTATCCTGGCAATTCACTTCTATTGTAAATAAACAGATAACTATGGTAAATTTTTACATTAATATTTTTGTTTATATCTCTCTTAAATTTTAGTGTTTTTATTTATATATTCGATTTCCACTGTATATGTTTGTACCAAGTGATTTTAAAAACAAAAGCAAGAAAATAAGAAAATTAGTTTGGATTGAAATTTTTAGCAAAAGCTGAAACTTTTTGAGCTCCATAATGTATTTTTCAAAAGCATATGGAGTGCTTTTGAAAAAAAAAAAAGAAAAAAACTAATAATAATAATAATAATTTTTAAAAAATCTCAAACAAACAATGCCTAGTGCCTTGTGAGGGATGACCTCTTTTTACAAAAATAAATAGGTTCACCTGATTTTTTTTAGTCCCATAAATCATTTATCATTTTAGTTTTCTAACTGAATGCTGCCTTAAAATAGTCTTGTGAAATTATTTTTCTAATTTAATTCTCAATGTCTAGACGGCATCTACGTGGCAAACTGAGGGACACGGACCGTATTGGCCAGATCAGTTAGCCACGTGGATAATTTTTATTTTTATTTTTTTAATATAAAAATTTTAAATTAGAAAATAAAAATAAAATATAAAATATAAAAATAAAATCTAAAATCTAAAACTAAAAATAAATAAAATATTGTAGAAAATAAAATTATTCATATGTCCGTCAAATCAGCACTACGTGACTTTAATTATTTTTATATTAGTATATTTTTTAATTATATTTTTCATATATATTTTTTTACTTTTAATATAAAAAATATAAATTATCTACCTAGCAGCCACACGGCGCATCTGACGGACATGTTGGATAATTTTTATTTTTTAATTTTAATTTTAATTTATATATATATTTTATATTCTTAATTTAAAATTTTATTTTTTTAAATATTTTATATATTTAATTTTAATTTTATTTATTTTTTATTAAAAAATAAAATAATAAAAAAATAAAAAATTTTCCACGTGGCAGACACGTGTCACCCATGTGGCACTGACCTGACTGACACGTGTCTGCCAGCCTGCTACGCCGATATCACCTAGGCATTAAGGAGTAAATTGAAAAAATTTTACACTTACGAGACTCTTTTAAAACAACCTCCAGTTACCAGACTAAAATGATAAAAAAAACACTTACGAGACTCTTTTAAAACAACCTCCAGTTATAGGACTAAAATGATAAAAGAAACACTTACGAGACTCTTTTAAAACAACCTCCAATTACAGGACTAAAATGATAAAAAATTCAGTTACGAGACTAAAAAAACAATTTACCCAAATAAATATAGTATCGACAGTGTTCCGTAACGAATAGCTTGTGGGGTGGACTAATAAACGTAAAGTAAAGTTATAGATTCATCGATTTTGAAAAATTATAAATTTTCGACGGGACAGTTAGGGTCTGGGACGGAACCAGGCCGGGATGCGAAGGGAGCTAATTTTTTAAATTTCGAAACTAATATAATTTATTTGTTATCCAATAATTTTATGAATGAAATTATCATAGTATTTCAAAAATCTAGCAAAATATCAATCTAACCTACAATAACAACTACATATTACAATATTAATTTTGTATTATATGAAATAATAAATAGTAAAAAAAATAGCTCTTAAAAATATTATCTTATATGCATTTGATTGAGAATTTTTTTGAAGGTTTTATTTATTTATTATTATTTCTTATTTTTTTGTTAATATTTATTTTTATAGCATCAAACAAGTATTATGATATAAAGTTTTTTATTATTCAAAATTTAAATTTAAATTTTAAATTTTCACATAAGTACTTATAAATTTTTAGCAATTCTTTAATTTGTTTTATTGTTTTTTATATTATACTCCCTCAATCCAAAAAAAAAAATAAAATTGTCTTATTGGGAATGAGAATGAAGAATTAAGGAATAATATTATTTTAGTGAAAGTAGAAAGTAAAAAGATTAAAATATGCTTTTTTTTTTTTTTTTTTTTTTTTTTTTTAATAATTTACTATAAAATAAAAATGAAAAGCTCTTTTGAACAGCTAATCAATATTTCATAAATTAAATAAATCAATATTTCAAGATCCCTCGTGCTTTGTTCTTTTTCTTTGTGCTTTATATGGGAACTGAAGTAGTGACCCGCGAACCCGGTTCGGCTTAAGTGACAGTTACACCGGATCAACGCCCATCTTCCATCTTCTACTTTCTCCATTGATTTACCATTTTTGTACCTCAGAGAAGTTTCACCAAGAATAAATAGTGGACCAGAGCTGCAAATGCACCCATTCCTTTGCCTCACAGTTTCAGACGGTGTGAATTTTCTTTCTACTTTTCCCCCTTCAAGTTACTGCGTTAGTGCAAGCACTGGACGCATCCATTTTCGTGTCGCTCTCTGTTTCACCATCGTTTTAAGGTATGAGTGTATTCTTTATGCATTCTTGTATGTTACTTTTCATGCTATTTCTTGGGAATTTATCGCCATTATAACGAGATGATTGGGATTATTGTGACTGCGTGTAGTCAGTAAGTGATTGGTTTGAATATGCATTATGCTATGCTTCGAGTGAATTGTATCTGTAACGAGTTTCTGTGCATGTTTTTGGTATGAATTTGATTTAGACTTCAATCCCGTAGGGTTTCTCTTCAGCAGTTGATTAATGTGTGATGTCATCAAGGTTGTTTTGATGTGTTCTTGAGACTTCTTGAGGTGAACATATGTTCTTGTGTAATATGTTGTTTTGAGTTTAATTTTGAAAATAATATTTTTTAGGTTGAAAAATATGTTTATTGTTGAAGGAAGAGCGTGAAATAGATGTCAAGATGCAAAGAAACTTCTTACCCAATTGTTTGGAGTTCGCATAGTCTCTGCAATTCATATACTTATATAAAAATAGGAAACTTGAGGTGGATAAATTGTGGAAATAAATGCCTTGCTGCTTAAATTAACTAATGGATTTTGTTTTCCTTGTTAAAATCAAGATTTGGACCTAACACTTGGTTGATCTAATTCCTGTTATTAAAGTATGTAAACTAAACTTTCCATTCTCCTTCAGTCAATGAAATCTTTCTAATTTGGAAAACAATGAAGACATGTGTCTTGAATGGATGGGATCATGGGGTTCAATCTCTGGCACGCTAACATGTTTGTGATATCGATGCACAGCATTGTTCCATGGAAGTTGTATAATGGAGCTGAAATGTTAGCAAGTTGCTCTAGAACTTATTTATATATCCTCATTTTAGTTTTCGAGTTGCCACTTTGTTATCTTGTCTATATTTAGTGAATCTCCTTGTATTCTTGTTTAAATGTTGACTCCTTTTTCTAGTGAAACTGTTGCATCCCTTGTTTATAGAAAATGAGCCACGTTGAATCCTTTTGATCACATTCTTTTAGGAGATGGATTTTACCTTTTTTTCAGCAACACCCGAACCTTGTGAATCAATAAGAGAATTTTGGTATTACAAGAATTAAGAATCCTAGATTAACCTCCCCATTCTCAAGAAAAATCAAGAACATCTTGTGATAATGGGGTTGATCACATTGGGTTTTGCGAAATCAATATGATAATTCGTTAGGTTGTCTTGGTGTCAATGCAGCATTAAACAATATTTACTAAAAGGGAACTACTCTTCATTGTCTAGTTCTAATTTTCACTGTGTGATCCTTAAATGTATTCAAAACTTTCTTTGCTAAAGGTTGATGTATAAAATCGCCAAACCAATTACAGTACATGACTAATCATTTTAGTCTTAATCTTTGCTTTACTTCCTATTCAATAACAAAAATCATATTTTAGGTGCTTGGAATGGTGGCATAACGTAAATTTTGTTAGAAGCTGGTTGCTTTCATAAAACAATACTGATTAAACTTGTGACAGAAACATTGGTGTGGAAAATTGCTGTCATGTAATTACTTGATTAATTATGTTCACATGGTTTAGTGATAAAGAATGTGTTTTGTGTGAATGGCAGGTTCGCAGTCCATTAGTACCAGTAAAAGAGGAACAAGATCAACACTTTTGGGAAGACAATATGCACAGGCAAGCTCCTGCCAGGATCCGAAGATCCCAAGGAATCAAAGCTAAGCATGTTATACAAATTTGTTTACTTCTTGCTGCTTTCTATTATTGGTTAATATACCATGTCAAACATTCCTATGGAGAGGATTCCCATCCGAAGCATTCCCATGGCAAGACAAAAATATATAATATAGGCACTGTAGATCTAAAAACATACCTTGGCAAGAAGAAAGAAGATGAGACACCAGAAGAAGTCGAATTAATCCTAAGAAAAGTTGGTAAGATACTAGCAAAAGTTAGACCGGAACATTTTCAGAAAGTGCATAAGACAATTTCCAAGAATGTGTACAATGCTGAACATAGACAAGACCAACAAAAAGTTGAAAGATATATGTCTGAAGCTCAGTCGGTACACAAGGCAGATTGGAAGGAAGATAAAGGGACCGAAGGTGGTGATGAGGACAATGATGAATACGAACAAGAGGAATCGGCTGAAGAAAAAGTTGAAAGATATGAATCTGAAGCTCAATTGGGATACAAGACGAATCAGAAGGAAGATAAAGGGACAGCAGGTGGTGATGAGGACAATGATGAACATGAGCAAGAGGAATCAGCCGAAGAAAAAGTTGAAAGTTATGAATCTGAAGCTCAACTGGGATACAGGGCTAATCACAAGGAAGCTAAAGGAATAGCAGGTGGTGATGAGGACAGTGATGAACACGATCAAGAGGAATCAGCTGAAGAAAAAGTTGAAAGATATGAATCCGAAGCTCAATTGAGATACAAGGCGGATCAGAAGGAAGCTAAAGAGACAGCAGGTGGTGATGAGGACAATGATGAACACGAGCAAGAGGAGTCGGCTGAGGAAAAAGTTGAAAGATATGAATCTGAAGCTCAATTGAGATACAAGGAGGATCAGAAGGAAGCTAAAGGGACGGAAGGTGGTGATGAGGACAGTGATGAACACGAGCAAGAGGAATCGGCTGAAGAAAAAGTTGAAAGATATGAATCTGAAGCTCAATTAAGAAACAAGGTGAATTGGAAGGACGGTGGAGGACAGAAGGTGGTGACGAAGAAAACGATGAAGCCGTATAAGACCAATGCACATAAGAAGTTGATCGAAAAAAGGGACTCAGTAGGTGAGGAAGAACGGGAAGATGGTGGCGAGAACAATGTAATTCAAGAAACAGATTCTGAACATGCCAATGGTCAAATAGATAAGGAACTCTCTTCAGTGGATATAAACAACTTTGGGTATAGTTCATCTTCAAATAAAACAGCAACAGAAGGATTATTTGACCATCATTTATCCAGCAACAGTACAATTGAGGATACATTGAAGACCATGATCTCCCCTTACAGAATATGACAGACAAGTCTCTGTAGGTATAAATTCGTACAAAATTGCAAATGATTGATTTGAGTGAGGACAATGATTCTGATTCAACAGGCTTTAAAACAAGAAATGGAGCCTAGATAAATCTGATCCCTTCCTGAATTGCAGAGTGAGGGAATGAACTAATCATGAACATCTTGCAGCTGAAGGAAGATTTCAAGAAACTATATTTTGCACTAGTTCTATTGATTTCGATTTATTAATGAAGTGCCTGTGAAATACTACTATCTCCTGCTGCTGCATTAAAGTTCATTTCAGGTTTCATTCAGGTATGTGAGGATCAGTACCTACTGTTATACTCCATAACCAATGTTCTTATCCTTTTTGTTGTGTTCTGAAGGAATATCTGAAGCATGGATGAAGGAAGATGCATCTTTTTTTCTTTTTTTTTTGTTCATATTGTTTTCTGGGATTTATGAGAACGTTGATGGGTAAATTTTTGGAGTCGAGACAAGGTTAAAAAGTCAAAGTTGACTTTGAGGATGGATTCTTGTTATGGGGTGGGTATTAGCTGTTTTCAATTTTGGATGTGATGCATGTGTGGTTGTTGACATATTGGTGGGAATATTTTGTAGGCAATGATGCTGATGCAAAAATATCAAAGAGATGAGGGGAGGGGATCGTTGAATGTGTAGAGTTGAAGTGTTAGGAAATCAGACAACCAGACTTTGAAAATAGATAGAGAGGTAGGTGGACGAATATGCACAAGCAGCTTTCTTGACGGCTGTCTATAGTCAATATAAATCGTGATTAGTTAGGAGTTTAGTGAGTTTGTTCAAAAGTGGGTACAATTTTTTACTAATAATAATAATAAGAAGAAAAATGCTACCTTTTCAATGTGCTACATAATTTGTAGTCTATTATGCTCAATTTTTTAATTTATTCAAATATATTTGAAAAGTAACTGTCATAGAAAAAATAAAATAAAATTATAACGAAGAGATTTTAACATTATTAAAAAATAAAAATATAAACCAAATTGCTACTTGCTAGGGTCGGAAGCAAAAAACAAAATCTTATATGCTCTTTTCAAGTCTATTCTTTTATGTAAAATTATTGTTGTTATAAAGAATAAAATGTTATATTCAATATTTATTTAATTTAGAAATTAAAATATAACCTCAAACTTTAATAATTTTAAAATTTTTAAGTTTGTTCAATTTACATTTCATCTCTTTTTATGATTCAATAATTTTTTTTTAAATACATTCTTTCTTTTTCTTTTCAAAACAAATTTGCTGTTTGCAAAAAAAATAAAAATAAAAACACACACACACACAAAGAACAATGTCTATTTTTAAGTTTTGTTCAATTTACATTTCTGCTCTTTTTATTATTCAATAAATTTTTAAAATACATTCTTTTCTTTTCTTTTTCAAAACAAATTGCTGTTCTTTTTTTTTTTTTTTTTTTTTTTAAAAAAGTCAAAGCAAAATTACAAAAGAACAATCTATTTTTAAGTATGTAAGTAAAGATGCTTCGAAGGTGTGAAGTGAATTCGTCTCAAGTCTCACTATATATATATATATATATTTAAAAATATTACATTAAATATATATTTTTGAATATCATATGTCACAATTATTTTATATTAATTCATTAAAAGCAAAAAAATCGCAAGCAACCAACAATTCGTTGCTTAATACAGCAGCTAATGCCTACACAGACAAATTACAACAAAACAAAAAAGTGTCCCGCCGCTGAAGAAACTGTACTTCACTGTACTGTACACTCACCGTTAAAAAGAAAAACGACCCCGACCCGACCCACTACACCGGATCCGATTGCCTCAACTCCTTCCTCAGCTTATGCGAAAACGACCGGCAAGCATCCATACTGAGGTCGACGGCGGCCGCCAGCGCCACGAAGGCGGCGGCGTCCTCCGTGCAGCTCACGTGCTGCACCCCGACCTCAACCTCCGGCCTGCTGCACTTGCTGTCCCCCCCGACCACCGTCGACGACATCACAAACCCCCGGTAGAGCAGCTGCCCCCACGACCCGGACCCGGACGCCGACCCGGGATCCGACCCGGAGCCCGACCCGGAGCTGAAATCGAAGCTGCTGTTGGGGCTGGTCATGGGGGTGGGCCCGCCGGTTATGTCGATGACGAAATCCCCGCCGTATTTCACGCTGATGCTCGAATTCGCCAGCGGGATCGCCTCCGCTCCGCCGTCGGGGATCAGATCGAACCGGTGGCCGAGCCGGCCGCGCTCCCGCCACGCCTGCAGCCGGCCCCATGGCTTCCACGTGCCCTGCTGGTCCGGCCGGAGAATCAGCCACGCCCCTGGATTGGATTTGCTCACCTTGTCCGTCCCCGACAACGCCACGAACGGCGTCACCATTGACGCCGCCGCCACCGGCGACCCCGACAGGTCGTGGATCGTGATCGACCACCCCTTCCTCTCTTTAATCGCCTGCTCGCCGCCGCCGTCGTCTCCGGCCGCCGACCTGAAGCACTTCCCTGAGGAGGCACTCGGCTCCGATTGCACTGATCTGAATTAAAATTGTGAAATCAAATTAAAGCAAACCAATTCAATGTCTATTTACTTATTTACCTGGATCTCAAAATCCTTTCTCCTCCGCCATTTCTGAACCCAAATTTGCAGGTGAAAACAGGCTGCTTTACAGTTCCATTAACCTGGAAAACCTGCGGACTGCACTCGGGATCGCCGTCGAACTGGAAGACGAATCTCGGGTCGGGCTCAGCCCGGACATTCAAGTGCAATTTAATCGGATCCAATGCCCCGCCAATAACAACCCACCCGTTTTGAATCACTAATCCACGATTGCTTTCCAAAATACTTTTAAAATCCAACTGCACATCAACGCAACCAATAAACTTTCCCTTCCTGCTCAATCCGCATCCATTTTTTCTCGCACTATTCTTCCTGTAAATCAGAATTCTCAATTTAGAAAACCTGCTGGACCTTTCTCCCAATCTCTCCATCTGCGTCCTTCGCAGGGCGAAGCAGCCGTGGATTTTGCTCTCAACGACGTCGTTTTCGTGGGTTAGAGAAGCCACATCGGAAGCCTGATTTGGAAAACCCTTGAGATTGAATTTACAGCAGAAAGAGGAGGACGAAGAGGGATCAGGAGTGGTATGATCGGATTTTCTGAGAGCTAAATTGGCGATGACAATTCGCACGAAAGGACAAGGATCCATAGTAGCAGGAGAAACCCTAATTAGAAGCAGGGAATGAGGAACTGGAAGTGGGGAATTAATTAAAGCGACCAGACGGGAGGAGACGAAAGGGTAAATATGTATGGGGGTTGACAGGCTGGAAGGGATGGGTGGGCTGGGTGGCGCACGTACGCTAAGCTAAGCGGCTGCCAGCAAGGAGGGAGAGAAGGGAATCCCACACATATCTGTCAATCATTGTTTTAACTAATATGGGTGAGATTTGTCGTTACTGGGGATTTAATGCTGCAATGTATTCTGGAATGTTTTTAGTGGACAGCTGGGAGAGAGTTTCCTTTCCTGACATTACATTAGGATTTTGTTTTTATTTAATTTCATTTGGAGAATTAAGAAAGAAATTAAATAGAGGGAGACAGCTGTTGGGATTTATTTAATACTATATTCCCACTATAATTCTGATTGGACGATGCAATACGGGGGCCCCACATTCCGATATTTTCTATATATTATTGCTTTCATCACCTTTTTTTAATTCTAAGCTTTATCTGTTTGCATGTAAATAAATAAGTATATATATTGTACATATCGGTGGCCGGGGCGGGATCCATCGCTTAAATATATAATACCAATATTATTTTTAGTTTTTTTTAATAGTATATTTTAGAATTTTAAATTTATGTATATGGAGCTTTAGTTATGTATGGGTAGGGTTGCTTGTGGGAAAAGCAGCTATTTCAATTAAGAACCATATCTGCATAGCGAAGGCGTTACTTACTACTCACCAAATTAATATCAATTAATTTAATTCTAGTGAGCTGAAGAAAGATCACTTAATCACCCCAATTTAATTATCTAATTTCCTGTATCATTTAATTAGAGCAAGGTTTACTTTCGATATTGAATTGGGTAAGATATAAAATATTTGAATCCGGTCGGGTGTTGGGTTTAATTAGCATTACATCCAATTTGGACTCGACCCGACCCGACCCGATTCAAATATGTTGTTATTATTATTATTATTATTATTATTATTATTATTATTATATTATGTTACCATGCTATTACAAAACTATAGTGAAGTAGAACACGATGATGGTGATAGTGATGCATGGTGATGATGCCGTACGGCGAAACATTTAGAAATCAATTTTAGTGATTTGAATTATGAAGTTACAATATCATTAAATATTACAATAAATAACATCCAATATACTTTAAATTAATAGAAATACAACACATGATATAATTTTACAGAACACATACAATACTTAATTTTAGCACTTCATATATTCTCATATAGCACACGCTAACAGCACATATTTTTATTTTAAACATCACATACTATAATAAAAATATGTATTATTTCTATATTTTACGTATACTGATTCGGAGAATCAACACGATAGCACTGTATCCAGGTCGGATTGGATTGGACAAGATATATATTTAAAATTTAATTGCTATTTTATTATTATTATTATTATTACTATTATTATTACAATTTTAGTGGGATCCACTCGGGTTGAATTTTGGGTTCGAATATTGTTGAAGTCAGATGGGGTTTTGAATTATATTAAAAAGAGTTTAGTTGATTTTAAATATATATTTTGGATAAGGCACGACCCATTTTTATAGGACGAAGGTAGTATGTAATATATATTGTATTCTCTAAAAAAATCAATTTTCTTCACAAATTTAAATTGGTTCGATTCTCTTGAGTTTGAGGATGTGTATTAATATATTTAAAAATAAATATTATAGTTATAGTATTTTTCTTATTTAAGAAATCTATAGTATTTTTAACTTTTTTTTTATACGATTTGTATATCCATATAAATACATACGAGTTTTATGATTAAAATACATAATTTCAATTTTACATTTTAACTGAGGTCTCTCTACTATGTCGTAGACAACATGAGACATTGTTCGCAACTGAATCTCCTGCATCTTCAATGGCAACACCATCGTCGATCTTTGTTTTCCTTGCAGACAAAGAATTGGATAATGTTGCTGAATCAAGAACCGGAGGAATATCCCTGGTATGTAACTCGACTACATTTGATAGAGCGTGACTCATCGTCTGAGCTGCTGCTTCTTTGTTCTTAGCAGTTTTTCGCTTCTTGGAACCCAAGGGTATGGTTCTAGTTCTTTCGAAACCGGCCTGGTGGTGGTCATTCTTCTAAACGATAAGCCTGACTGGACTTCTCGTGATGACGCGAGTTCGTCGGCGTCCGTGCGAGAATTCTCGTTCGCAATATACGGCTGGAAGACGGGTCTGTGAACGGCGGACAAGGTCGTCGTTCGCGATTTTTGGCCGCGATGTGCATCGCAGGAAATCCATTTTTGCTGCCTACATATTTGCGAAAATCCGCGCAGAAGTTTTTTGGGGCGCCCACTCTGTCTAGATGGACGGCCTGACCGACATTCGTACGCCGAGTCACAAATTCGTTGTTGTCTGCCGGGGCGGACGTCGACAATGATCCTTTCGCAGGTTCAACTATAGAATCCTTGTTAGAAGTTCTCTTTCCTCTAAACGATAAGGCTGACTGGACTTCTCGCGATGACGCGGGTTCGTCGGCGCTCGTGCGCGAATCCTCGTTCGCAATATACGGCTGGACGACGGGTCCGTGAACGGCGGACAAGGTCATCGTTCGCTATTTTTGGCCGTGACGTGCATCGCAGGAAATCCATTTCTGCTGCCTACATATTCGCGAAAATCCGCGCAGAAGTTTTTTGGGGCGCCCACTCTGTCTCGATGGACGGCCTGACCAGCATTCGTACGTCGGGTCACGAATTCGCTGTTGTCAGCCGGGGCAGACATCGACAATGATCATTTCGCAGGTTCAACTATAGAATCCTTGTTACGAGTTCTCTTTTTTCTAAACGATAAGGGTTACTGGACTTCTCGCGATGACGCTTGTTCTTCGGCGCCCGTGTGCGAATCCTCGTTCGCAATATACGGCTGGACGACGGGACCGTGAACGGCGGACAAGGTCGTCGTTCGGGATTTTTTGCCGCGACGTGCATCGCAGGAAATCCGTTTTTGCTGCCTACATATTCGTGAAAATCCGCGCAGGAGTTTTTTGGGGCGCCCACTCTGTCTCGATGGATGGTCTGACCGGCATTCGTACGTCGGGTCACGAATTCGCAGTTGTCTGCCGGGGCAGGTGTCGACAATGATCCTTTCGCAGGTTCAACTATAGAATCCTTGTTACGAGTTCTCTTTTCTGTAAACGAAAAGGCTGATTGGACTTCTCGCGATAACGCGGGTCCGTCGGCGCCCGTGCGCGAATCCTCGTTCGCAATATACGGCTGGACGACAGGTCCGTGAAAGGCGGACAAGGTCGTCGTTCGTGATTTTTGGCTGCGACGTGCATCGCAGGAAATCCATTTTTGCTGCCTACATATTCGCGAAAGTCCGCGCGGGAGTTTTCTTGGGCGCCCACTCTGTCTCGATTGATGGCCTGACCGGCATTCGTACGTCGGGTCACGAATTCGCTGTTGTCTGCAGGGGCAGACATCGACAATGATCCTTTGGCAGGTTCAACTATAGAATCCTTGTTACGAGTTCTCTTTTCTTTAAACGATAAGGGTGACTGCACTTCTCGCGTTCGCAATATACAGCTGGACGACAGGTCCGTCAACGGCAGACAAGGTCGTCGTTCGCGATTTTTGGCCGCGACGTGCATCGCAGGAAATCCATTTTTGCTGCCTACATATTCGCAAAAATCTGCGCAGGAGTTTTTTGGGGCGCCCACTCTGTCTCGATGGACGGTCTGACCGGCATTCGTACGTCGGGTCACAAATTTGTTGTTGTCTGCCGGGGCAGAGGTCGACAATGATCCTTTCGCAGGTTCAACTATAGAATACTTGTTACGAGTTCTTTTTTCTCTAAACGATAAGGCTGACTGGACTTCTCGCGATGACGCGGGTTCTTCGGCGCCCGTGCGCGAATCCTCGTTCTAATATACGGCTGGACGACGGGACCGTGAACGGCGGACAAGGTCGTCGTTCGCGATTTTTTGCCGCGACGTGCATCGCTGGAAATCCGTTTTTGCTGCCTACATATTTGCGAAAATCCGCACAGGAGTTTTTTGGGGCTCCCACTCTGTCTCGATGGACGGCTTGACCGGCATTCGTACGTCGGGTCACGAATTCGCTGTTGTCTGCCGGGGCAGATGTCGACAATGATCCTTTCGCCGGTTCAACTATTGAATCCTTGTTACGAGTTCTCTTTTCTCTAAACGATAAGGGTGACTGGACTTCTCGCGATGACGCGGGTTCTTCGGCGCCCGTGCGCGAATCCTCGTTCTAATATACGGCTGGACGACGGGACCGTGAACGATGGACAACGTCGTCGTTCGCGATTTTTTGCCACGATGTGCATCGCAGTAAATCCGTTTTTGCTGCCTAAATATTCTCGAAAATCCGTGCAGGAGTTTTTTGAGGCGCCCACTCTGTCTTGATGGACGGCTTGACCGGCATTCGTACGTCGGGTCACGAATTCGCTGTTGTCTGCTGGGGCAGACGTCGACAATGATCCTTTCGCAGGTTCAACTATAGAATACTTGTTACGAGTTCTCTTTTCTCTAAACGATAAGGCTGACTGGACTTCTCGCGATGACGCGTGTTCTTCGGCGCCCGTGCGCAAATCCTCGTTCGCAATATACGGCTGGACGACGGGACCGTGAACGGCGGACAAGGTCGTTGTTCGCGATTTTTTGCCGCGAAGTGCATCGCAGAAAATCCGTTTTTGCCGCCTACATATTCGCAAAAATCTGCGCAGGAGTTTTTTGGGGCGCCCACTCTGTCTCGATGGACGGTCTTACCGGCATTCGTACGTCGGGTCACAAATTTGCTGTTGTCTGCCGGGGCAGAGGTCGACAATGATCCTTTCGCAGGTTCAACTATAGAATACTTGTTACGAGTTCTTTTTTCTCTAAACGATAAGGCTGACTGGACTTCTCGCGATGACGCGGGTTCTTCGGCGCCCGTGCGCGAATCCTCGTTCTAATATACGGCTGGACGACGGGACCGTGAACGGCGGACAAGGTCGTCGTTCGCGATTTTTTGCCGCGACGTGCATCGCTGGAAATCCGTTTTTGCTGCCTACATATTCGCGAAAATCCGTG